TAGACCAGGCTGGACTTGAACTCACAGAGATCTGCCTGCCTCTGCCTCCCAAGTGCTGGGACTACAGGCGTGTGCCACCATGCCCAGCTTATTTATTATTTTTATGTGTATGTGTATATTGCCTGCATGCATATAAGTGTACCTGTGTTGTGCAATGCCAACGTAGGTCAGAGGAAGGTACTGGATTCCCATGGAACTGAAGTTAGGGATGGATTTTAACCACCACGTGGGTGCTAGGAATCAAACCCAGGTCCTTTGCAAGAACAGCCAGAGCTCTTAACTGCTGAACCATCTCTCCAGCCCAACTATGCTCTGTTTTTATGCAGTGCTAGGGACTGAACCCAGGGCTTCATGCAGCAAGCACTCTACCAAATGAGCTACATTCCTAGTCTCATAGTCTTAGGGTTTTTTTTTTTTTTGGTCTTTTTGAGACAGGGTTCTCTATAGCCCCATCTGGCCTGCAGTTGTAGTTTTTAAAGATGCATTTTCATTCCCATCCTTCTGGACTTTCGATTTCTATTTCCCTTCAAAATAGGACCCCTCAACAGCTTATTCAACAGCTCAGCTGAACCTTCTTGTTTCAAGTTTTCCAGGATACCCCTATCGCTTTAGATAGACTTGATAGTCTCTAGCCAAATGCCTGCCCCCTCTTCAATTTCCAGCTGCCTTGTTTACAGAAATTAGCAGGTTTTTTTTGGTCTCTTTGAGACAAGGTCTCCCTGTAGCTCCTGGAACTCACTATGTAGAACAGGCTGGCCTTGAACTCACAGAGATCCGCCTGCCTCTGCCTCCAGAGTGCTGGGATTAAAGGTGTGTGCCACCACGCCCAACTAGATCTTAGTAGTTTTATGGTAGCAGATTTTCAGGGTATGTGATAGTGATCATAACAGAGGTAACAGAGTCTGGATGCCTTGTAGGAAATTCCACATTAATCCCCAAAGTAGAATTGTCCTAGGGCTCTCCAGCTGGAAGTAGGGACAACACAACACTTATACAGATTTGGCCTATGTTTTCCACATGACCCACATCTATGCAGCATCTGGTGGGAAATGGTTCTTCTCATTGCCCTTAACACTCTTATTAAGGATGGCCTTGAGATTTCAGTATCACTTAGAAGCCCTCTGGCTTCCAACCCAGGAGGCTACTGCACATTTCCAGGCCTATCAGAAAGACCATTCCCACATGTCTTGGGGCAACAATCAAATAGATCAATAGGTTAAACAGACAGCTCAACTTCCCAACATCATTCTCCCATGTCTTCAGTATGCCCCTCAGAAAGCTCAGAAGGCTTTAGATCATGACTTCACAGATACTGCACAGAAAGAGCTACAAAGCCCAGAGAACAAGCTACTGCTTGTTAATTGTTCTGAAAGTCTTGAGTTTTTCAGCTGAGGAAAGACTTCACTCAGACTCTAGAATAAGGACCTCCTATCCCTTCCCATGCCTCCTTAATTTTCCATTCTATCCTGCCTCATGGGGACTACAGGCAGGTGTCACCATGTTGAGCTCTAAAACAGTCTCTCAGTCTCTCTCTCTCTCTCTCTCTCTCTCTGATTTTCTTCTTCTTTTTGAATAGATGTCTCACTAGGTAGTTCCAAGTTGTCCTGAAATGCTGAATCAAGTTCCTGCTTGGAACTTCCCCAGTAGTGGAAGTGCAGGCATGGGTCATACATGTAGTTTTAAAAAACTGGCATGGCGGGGATTTGTGGAGTTAAAGATGAACATTCCAAGTCATCTGTTAAAGTTCAATTAGGCTAATAAACTGTACACTTTGTTCTACTTATTGGTACTGATTGAGCGTTTAAATAGGTTGTATTATACCCAAATAAATTATATAGTCTATATATTTGTATATCTACTATAGTGATCACTGCATCTAATTTGCAGGGCTATTGTACCTCCACCTCTTATTGTGTATTTTCTGTGAGGTAGTTTTCAATGAAAATTTTCTCTTCTCTATTGTGCTGAGACCTTAAGAAAAAAAGGTGTGTGTGTGTGCGGTGAGCATATGAGTGGGTGCACATGACTCTGCAAGTCGGGAGGGTAAAGAAAGTCATCAGATCACTGCTTTAACACTGTCCACTTTCTTCATTTGAGAACCAGGTCTCTCACTGAACCTGGAGCTAGCCTGGGACCAACAAGACCTACCCATACTTCTTTAAGATTAAAAACATAGTTTATTGCTCTATCACCAATTCGTTGTAAACCATGCCTGTTAATAAGGTATACCTTCATGAAACTGTCTTTATTCTTACATTTGATAATACATATGAACTACTGCATGTGGTAAATGAAAGACAATGCTGAACATTCAGTATTATTCTTATAAAAGAAATGTAATGAGGAAAAACAGTGAGATCCCAATTCAGATAAGGGAGTGGGGTAGGGTGCTTGCAGGAATCCTTGTGTTCGATCTCCAGCACCATGCGAACCGCGAATGGTGGCTTATGCCTGCAATCCCACATCATCACTTGGAATTCACCTGGCGGCAGGAAGATCAGACGTTCTGGGTTACCCCTCGGCTACACATCGAGCTCAAGGCCAGTTTTGGAGATCTGAGTAGTGGCGCAAGCCTGTGATCTCAGCACTTGGGAATCGGAGGCGGGACTGTCAGTTCGAGGCCAGCCAGGTCTACTGCAAAACACGATAAATGGAGACCCAGGTAAGGAAGGCCCCAGCCACAGCTTTCCAAAGCCCGCCATGCCCGGTGTCCAGATCCACAGGTACTTGGCGGCAGGGCAGACCATTCAGACCTGCCAGCCTAGACTCCCGGAAGGTAAACATCTCGCCGCGGGCGGGGCGGAAGGCGGGCTCAGGCTGCCGGAGTGGCCAGGTAAAAGTGATGGACAGCTGCCACGTCCACGTGCTTAGAGCTTTGAATCAGCTGTCGCGAGAATTCGATGTAAACACACCGGTCTCTCTGGCCTGGGGCTCCGCACCTGACACGCCTGGCTGAGGCCGGCAAGGTATCTGGAGCACGCTGCATTTCCCCAAAGCAGAAACGCCACGGCAGTGCGTCTCTCAGTCAGGCGGACGAGCCTTGCACGTCTCCCCAGCTGTCTGCATTCGCAACCGAACCTGACCCGGCCGCTTCACCCGAACTTCCATACTGTTGTGTTTTCGCTGCAGTCGCAGCGGATTGGCTGGCGTTAGGAGGCGGGTCCGCCTCTTTGCTACTTGCTGGTTGGCGAAGCTGAACTCCAAGGGCGGTGCCGGGCTAAGGCCAGTTTGCTCTCAGGATTGGCTGGCGCGGTGGTTCCGCCGAGGTGTGGTAGGAAGTGGGAGCTGTCAATCATAAGGGGAGACTCCAAACAGTGAGCCTGGAGCTGGAGAACAGCGTTTACCGGCGGAGCGGCCGGTGAGAGGGCTGGCGGGGCTTGGCGTCGGGGAGGCTTGGGGAGGTGGAGGGACGGGCAGCGTGAGGGGACGGGGCTTGGCTGGCGGGACTCGACGGGGGAAAGGTGTTGAAACTGGAGGAGAGCGGGGCAAGGGGCCAGAGGGCGGCCGGGGGCAGTGGTGGCTGGGCTTTGGAGGTTAAGTGGGCAGTGCTGTTCCTGTAGCTTTCGGGAGAGTGGGGCCCGAGGGGCTGGCGAGGATCCTCCTAGGGTGACAGGGCCCTTAGAGGACACGTTGGGGGACTGGTTCCGCTAAGAAAGGGTGGAATGGAAATGAGAGGGCTCTTGGGTTCGAGGTGAAGGGTACTCCGTGAGAAAGGGGTAAGCAGGCTAAGGGGATGTTTCGGTTGTGTAGGAAAGTGGGGATCAGCAGTTAGGGAGTTTTCATAAAAGGTGGTAGAAGGCCCCCTACTTAAAAGAGATGTTTTTAGGCTCTTTCAAGATTAGTTCCAGGCTGTGGGTTTTCCTAACAGAGCCTTGCAAGAAATCTTTAGTATTGCTGTCAGTCATCTTTTAACCTTAATCAAGTAGACGCCATGCCCTTACAGTCTCACTGATTCAGAGGCTCATTTGATATTCAGGGAGCAGGACTTACGCGATGTTGGAAAGAGGGCTTCTCACATCGTATGAGTTTATATTATATATTTGTTTACACTCTGGTGATTATGTTACAAACTGGGGGTTAAAATGTGATTTAAATGTGGTCACAAAGTGTTACTCATTTGTTCCCAGATTAATTGGAAGGTAAAGTGGAATCATATCACTTCCATTTGGTTTACTAATTAATTAATTTATTTGTAAGTCAGGGTCTCATATGGGCTAGCTGGCCTCCATCTCATTGGTTATATAGCTAAGGTTGACCTTGAATTCCTGATCCTCCTGCCTCTACCTCCCAGGTGCTGGGATTATAGGCATGGATCACCACACTTGGTCTCTTTTTGAGACCCGGTCTTGCTGTGTAGCTCAGGCTGTCCTTGAACTCACCCAACAATCCTTTGCCTCAGCCTGCTGAGTACTGGAATCACTGGTATGCCACCACACTGGGCTTTATATTTGTTTTTCTATGTGATCTTGTGCTGCACTTCCCATCTTACATTCTTTTAGACAGTGTCTTAGTATGTAGCCTGGCAGCCCTGAACTCCATATATAGACCAGCTGGCCTGGAACTCATGGATATCCACCTGCCTCTGCCCCTGATTTCTGGGATTAAAGACATTGAATGTTTTGGTTCTTATCTTTCTAGTTTCATGTTAACAATAGAACAAAAAAAATCTAGCAGAGTCTTAACTTATTGTCATTCTGAGATCAGGCAGTTCAAGGCCAGCCTGAACTACAGAGTGAAACCTTAAAAAAAATTTCTACTTTTTCCTCTTCTCCCTTTCTGGTGGAATAGAAATTTCTGGATATATTTCCTACTTTTTTTCAAACAGTTTTGAAAAGGGATCTCTAGTAAGTAATCATTGCATTCTGCTCCGACAATAATGATGCGGTTTTTTTCTTTTATTCTGGAAACAGGTCTTATGAATGAAGCGATGGCTACAGATTCTCCTAGAAGACCCAGTCGATGTACTGGTGGAGTTGTGGTTCGCCCTCAGGCTGTCACGTAAGCACAATTTAGAAAAAGCCCCATAGCCTAAGAAAATAAAAACAACTGCCAGTTTAGATGATCTGTTTAGATAGTGCTTACTTTTGTAAACATCTTTTAAATTTTAGTTTTGGTGGTTAAGTGAATGTCATTGTCATGGCCAAATAAAAGAAACAGTTGGATCCGGGTGTGGTGGCCCATGCCTTTAGTCCCAGCACCCTGGAGGTAGAGGCAGGCGGATCTCTGAGTTCAGGGACAGCCTGGTCTACATAGCTAGTTCCAGGACAGCTGGGGCTGCAGGGAGATCCTGTCTCAACAAGACCAAAAAAAAAAAACCTAAACAAAACAAACAAAAAAACAGTTGGAGGGTTGGGTTGATATATTCTACGTATTCATAGAGTACCTGAGGGTTACTGTGCTAAATCCTAAGAGCAGTCTGAGGGCTGGGGATCTAGCACAGTAGTAGAGTACTTACCTAACATGTGTGAAGGCCTGGATTTGATCCCAGCACCACCAAAAAAGAAGCTGAAAAGCAATCTTTTTTAAAATTTGAATTTAAACAAATTGTGGGTCATTAAAGTAGTTTAATGAGTCATGATCAGTACTTGAAAAAATATGAAATAGGAGTTGGAGGCATAGGTCATTGGTAAAGTGCTTGTCCTACCAGACTCAAACACTAGGTTCTATCTCCAGCACCACACACACGTAAACACATACCAAATATTTATATATACATACAAAACAGAAAATAGAGTTGAGAGTATTGTTTTATGATATGTGCAGAGAAATAGTCATACCTACATATATGATTACTAAATTGTGATGTAAAATGTATCTTTTCTTTCTTTTTTTTGAGACAGGGTCTCCCTGTAGCCTTAGGTGGCCTGGAACTCTATGTAGACCAGGCTGGCCTTGACCTCACAGAGATCTACCTACCTCTGCCTCCCAAGTGTTGGGATTAAAGGCTTGTGCCACCATGGCTGGCAAAAGTGTATCTTTTCTAGGTTTTAGTATGAATGTTACAAAGTGTTAAAAGAGAAGACATTTCAATACAATATTTTTAGGTATTCTTTGACAGTATATCTATACTTCCTAGGAGCTTTTAATTCAGTGTAAAGAAATATATACTCATTATTATAATCAGCAAAAAAGGAAAGATATCAGCAAAAAGGCACGAGTATTTAGAGCAAATATTTATTTATTTATTTATTTATTTATTTTTATTATTTATTTTCATTTTGAAGCAGGGTCTCCTTGTAGCCCCAGCTTTCCTGGAACTCACTATATAGACCAGGCTGACCTTGAACTCACAGAGATCCACCTGCCTCTGCCTCCCAAGTGCTGGGACTACAGGCGTGTGCCACCACACCCGGCAGAGCAAGTATTCTTAATAGTGATAAGACTTCATTAAGTAGGTAACACTTTGGGAGCTGTTGCTGTGGCTCAGTAGGTAATGGGGCTTGCCACTAAGCCTGAGGGTCTGAGTTTGATCCTCAGGACCCACATGGTAGAAGGAGAGAACTGATGCCTATGGATTGTCCTTTGACTTCCTCATGTAGGCACTACACACATACACACACACTTATGCACCAACAAAATCAAATGTAATAAACAATTTTTTTAAAGGAAGGTAACATTTTGAGTATATTTTTTAAGATAGAGATATGGGGTAGCATCAAGGGTGTCTTAGGCAAAGGGGTTAAGCAGATAAGGAAAAAGCAAGATTTTTTGTTTGTTTTTGAGAGGTCCAAGTTTGCCTTACATTTTCTGTGTAGCAGAAACTCACTTTGAACTCCTGATCCTGCCTCCACCTCCCAAAAGCTGGGATTACAGGCATGTGCCCATTATGCTTTGTTTTGTTTTTGTAACCTTGGCTGGCCTGGCAGAAGCTCTGGACCCAGACTGTCCTTGAACTCAGCAATCATCCTGTCTCAGCCTCTTAAGTGCTGGAATTACCAGCATGTGCTGGTGCCACCCGATTTGTTTTTTAAATAGGGTTTCACTGTGTAATTCAGGTTGTCTGAAAGCTCATAGCAATCCTCCTTCCTTTTCATCCATAGTGCTAGAATTACAAATATGGGCCATAAGATATGAACATGAGATATGTTTTAAAATGTTCTTAGCAAGCACGGCGTGTTGGTTTGGACCTATCATCCTAGTACTTGGGAGGCTGAGGCAGGCGTATTGTAAGTTCAGGGCCATCTTGGGTTACATAGAGTTCTAGACCAGCTATGTAGCAAGATACTGCCTCAAAAAATTGCTTTTAGAGCATATTACAAAAAGAATGTCTTCTCATATTACAAAAAGAATCTTCTCAGACTAACAAAAGCATATGTGTACTGTGATATTTTATCATAACTTCCCTTTTTCCGGTACATTCCCTAGAGCTGTATTTCTTTGGTATCATGGACCATGGCAGCAAGTTAAACATGTTGTTAGCTGAGTCAGGTTGCTATTTTAATCTTCCTTTTATAGGTGAGGAAACCAAAGCAGAGAGAAATTAAGTTGTCATTGGTGATGGTCAGGAAGGGGAGCCAGGATGAGGCTCAGGCAGTTGTCTCCAGGGTTTGTGTTCTTAGTATTTTCTGCTGTCTCACTACATGGTGTTCAAACTGGAATAATGCTTTTTGTTGCATAGTACATACTTTTAGGGTTTAAAAAAATCTTTGATGCAGTGTTCTTTTTAAATAATGCTTAAGCATCAACTCCTTGCTTAAGTCCTGGTTTACAGATTCTAGACAGAAAAGGTAAATATGTGTGATGAGTTGTTTCCTGAATGGAGCTTACCCTGTAGTGGGGGAAATAGTAAAGTGAGTAAATAGTGCAGGATGTCATCTGAGCCTTGATAGAGGGTGACAGGGAGGGTATGTGTAAGGGTGTCCTCTGAGGAAGCAACAGAAAGCTGGAAATTTGAATGGAAGGAAGGCATACTGGAAGAAATGGGGCAGAATGAAAGCTGGTATAAGGCCTTGATTCAGAGGAGAACATGATGTATTCTAGGAATTGAAGCTTCATATGGCTGAAGAAGAGCAGTTAGAGTGGTAGAAAATGAGATTGCAAAGGGGCCTCATCCTCTTGTTTGTTTTCCCCCTATGTAGTCCAGGTTGTCTTCAGACTTCCTTCCTCTGCAACCATAGCTCCGGGATTGCTATTAATTTTTTTCATTTTACTAGTATGTGTGTTTGGCTGTGTGTCAGTGTACCAGGAGCTGGCAGAGGCCAGAGGAAGATGTCAGATTCCCCATGACTGGGGTTCCTGAGCTTCCCAACTCCAGTCCTCTGCAAGAGTGGAAGGTGTTCTTAGCTGCTGTTGATCTCTCCAAGTCCACACAATTCATTTTTTTTTAGGTCTCTAAGGCATATTGTTTGTTGCAGGATTTAGGAGAACTATTACTTTTTTTTTTTTGAGATAGAGTCTGATGTATCCCAGGCGGCTTGTACCTCCTGAATGCTGGGATTACAGGTGTGTGCCACTATGCTTGGTTTATGTGGTGGTGGAAATTAAACCCAGGACTTTGTGCATACTAGATAAACACTACAGACTGAGCTACATCCCAACATTTTTTTTTGTTGGTATTTAAAACAGGATTTTACTATATATCTCAGACTGGTCTTGAAACTACGTAGGTATAAGCTATCACATTCTGTCTCAATTTCTGCAATTGTAAGTTTTCACATTTTTCTGAAATAAATTGCTTTTCTCCACTTACTGACATCTATATACTTTTCCAAATATGTTCAGGGCTGGGGATGTAGCTCGGTATAGACCATTTGCCAAGCATGTGTAAGGTTTTGGGTTCCATCTCCAGGACTGCAAAAACAAAAAACCAAAAAAATCATTTTTAATGTCCTTGACAATGTTAATTTTCCCTTTTTTGGTCTTATTGAGACAGTCTCCCTGTAGCCCCAGCTGGCCTGGCTGGCCTGGACCTCACTATGTAGACCTTGCACTCAGAGATCTGCCTGCCTCTGCCTCCCGAGTGCTGGAATTAAAGGCCTGCACCACCATGCCCAGCAATTTTCCTTTTTTTTTTTTGGTATAGGGAACTGAACCTAGGCCTCACATATGCTAGGCTAAAGCTGTACCACTGAGCTATTTCCTTAACCCCCGTTCCCTCACTTGTTATAACTTATTTTTTTTCTTATTTACTTGTTTTAGTTTTTTGAGACAAAGTCTCACTCTAGGCCAGGCTGGCCTGGAACTTAAGGCATTCCTCCTACCTGAGTGCTGGGATTATAGATGTATCAGGCCTGGCCGGGTTTTTTTGATACAAAGATCACTAACATAGGCCAGGTTGGCCCTGAGCTCATGATCCTCTTGTCTCAACTTTCCAAGTACTGGGATTACAAGTGTGTGCCAGCATACCCAGCTCTGTGAAGATGCTGCGTGTGTGTGTGTGTGTGTGTGTGTGTGTGTGTGTGTGTGTGCATGGGTGTGTGTGCATGCCTGTGGAGGCCAGAAGATAACCACAGGTATCATTCTTCACGTGCCACTCACATTTGTTTTTTTGAGACAGAGTCTTACTGCCTAAAATTAGCCAAGTAGGCCTGCCTTGATTTCTTTCTTTTTTTAAACATGTGGGTTCTGGGGATCAAACAGGTCTTCATTCTTGCACACCAAGCACTTTATTCACTGAGCTGTCTCCCCAGTATCTATAATGACTTTTTGTACTTGTTCTAATGCTCACATCTGTAGTGAAATGCTGCACAGAGGTAAGGGACAAGGTTCATAACCAATTTAAAGAGAAGGTCAGGAAATTCTGTCACCAGCAACAGTTTCATTTTTCTTTCTTTCTTTCTTTTTCTTTCTTTTTCTTTCTTTCTTTCTTTTTTTCTTTTCTTTTTTTTTGAAGCAGGGTCTCCCTGTAGCCCCAGCTGTCCTGGAACTCAACTGTGTAGACCAGGCTGGCCTTGAACTCACAGAGATCCGCCTGCCTCTGCCTCCCAAGTGCTGGGACTACAGGCATGCACCACCACGCCTGGCTAGTTTTTTTTTTTTTTTTTTTTTTGTCTAACTAGGACATTATTGTGCTCTGAAGAGGAAGGTCCTACCTTTGCCAGGTTTGCTGGACTATTCTTTCAAATATGAGTCATCCTTATTCAGTTAGGAGAGCATAACTTTTAAGAAGAGATAATGTTTTAAAAAATGTAAAACTTACATACATTGAATGATGTACACAAGGAAACCAAAATGTGGGTAAACAGAATTATCAGGTGGATAAAAATTGGCCATGTGTTTTCCTTATTTTAATTTGATGAGTGAATTTAGTAGTATTTGTAAGTAGAACTTTGCTCTGGTTTGTCTTAAGCTATCATGACAATTTGTATCCATCTTGTCCTTTTCCAGAGAGCAGTCCTACATGGAAAGTGTTGTGACTTTTCTACAGGATGTTGTGCCACAGGTAAGTGTGTGTGAGTACAGGAATTGTAGGTTAACTTTTGGACCAGGAAGCTCTGAAATCTTGTTTCCTAAATATAACCTTAAGAGGCAGCAACTTCAGAAAGTCTCTTGATGTTTTAGTGTACTGAGAATTGTAGGGCAGACTTGTCCTGCAGATGTGCCTCATGTTTTTTATTAAATTAAAATTTTTTGTCTTTGTGAATTTTATACACGAGTACTGTATTTTCATAATTTCTATCCCTCCCTCCCCCTAACACCTTCCGTGCTCCTCCATGCCCTCTCAAATTTGTGACCTCTTCTTTAATTGTTACTGTTACATATATGCACATATGTGTGTATGTACACACACATGACATACACCACAAAACCCCTACAAAGTCCTTTTATTGGTGCTAGTATGTACATGTGCTTAGAGCTGACCACTTGGGATTGGATAACCTATCAGGAAGCAGAGCCCTGCAGAAAATGGATTCTCTGTCTCTGAGCAGCCAGTGGTTGCCTGTAACTCTTCATTCCGGAATGGGTCCTTGTGAAATTTCCCTCATCCGAGCTGACATGTCAACCAGCATTGTCATTATGCAGTTCTTGGTTAGCTATCCATCGATGGAATTTTATGGATGAAGTTTCCCTGACATATCTAGAGATACTATGTAGTAGTAGCTTCTTGGTCCTCTGGTTCTTACAGTCTTTGCGTACCTTCCTCCTCATGTTCCCTGAGCTTTAGGTGTGGGATTTTGTTTCAGAAGAAAGGCTTGCTTTCTACAGAGGAATCCAGAGATGTGAGTTGAGAGCTAGGACTTTTCAGCTGGGTTCCTGGCAGCCCTGGGGATCAAACCCAGGGCCCTGCTAATGTTAGTCATGTGCTCTACCAGTGAGCTCCCTCCCCATCTCTTTCCAGGTGGGCTTTATTTCTTAAATAATTTTTCTTGTCCAAGTTAAGAGGTCTGGGCTTGAGCTGTAGTTCAGTGGTAGACCACTTCCCAAACACTCCAGAGGCTCAGAGTTTGATCTCCAGTACCACACCCTCCCACATACCTACAATGAGATGCCTGACTAAAATGAAAAAACTAGTATACAGGCTTGTGCTGGAGAGATGGCTCAGCGGTTAAGAGCACTCACTGTTCTTCCACAGGACCCAAGTTTGATTCCCAGTACCTACATGGCAGCTAACAACTGTATGTAACTCCAGTTCCAGGGGATCCTACACTCTCTTCTTGCTTCTGTGGGCATTGCATACATGTCATGCACTTACCTGCATGCAGGCATAACACTTATAAAATGCAAATAATAAATAAAATATTATAAAATATTTTTAAAAAGTAGTATATACTAGGTACTTAATTACATATTAATTAAATATCAGCACAAACTGTCATTTCTCTTCTATTGGGAAGTATTTTTGTTTGTTTGCTAAATAGGTATGCTCTGTTGCCCTGATTTGATAGAGATTGAGGCCCTTACTGCTTCTTTAAATGTGAGAATAAAGAAGGGAATAGCCTTGCATGGATCATTGAGTGTATTACTGTCCAAGTTTCATTCAAGCTATCACTTGGCATGCTTGTTAAAAGTAACGATAATTTCTAGGCCTGTCTCCCAGAGAGTGGGATGCAGCAGATCTGAGTTCAAATCCAGCACCTGTGTCTGTAGGAAGACTCTCCGGTGATTTCTCTGGAACAGTGGATTGGGGAGGCACTGTTCTGGTGGAACTACTGAACGGAAAGTTTTCTATTTTCTCCTCGTGGATGTCAATCTGTTCTGACTGCCATTGCACCTGCTCCTGCACTGTTCCAAGAGGCCTCTCATGGATCCAGTGTGCTAGTCTTATGTGAATATCCTAAAAAAGTCCAAAGTCTAGATTTTAGTTGTGCTTAACAAAATATATTCATCAAATCAAGAATGTTAATATTGCTTTATTATATTCAGTTAATTTTAATGAAAGCAGACCACAGCAACAAGATCTGTGGTGCATATGAGGAAAAAGAAATGCTCTCCTTTCTTGAGGCACTTGGTTAATGAGTCAAATTGCTTGAAACAAGCAGAGCTTATTAATAACAACAAATCAGCACTGTTGCCATGTAGCACACACTGAATATTTAATTGGTGAGGGGATGCAGAGTGAAGAGAGAAGTCAGAGACTTTCTAAGTTTTAGAGGCATCATTAGTTGAAATGAAAGGAACTGGCCAGCTGGACAGGAGGGGCACAGGATTGTGGTGTCAGTGGAGGAACTGGTATTTACATAGAAGATCAGGTTTAGGGAGCAGGAGGCCTGAACACCAACTTGTTACTTTTAAGCCCTGAAGCTTGGCATGAGGCTGCAATTCCAGGGAAAAATGATTTAATTATTATTACTATTTTTTGCATTTTGTCTGTTCCCAGAGGGAATTTTTATCAAATTCTCTTTAAGGCATCTTTTGTGCAGCTGGGAGCCCTGTGTAGCTAGCAGTTTTACAAGCTGGAGGAGAAAGGCTGTAGGCAGAAACCCTGAGGGACCTTCCATCTTAATGTGAGAGGTTGCAGTGCAACAGGAGCAAGGAGAATGTTGGGAGTTTTAGTTTTTATGAACACACTAGAAGTTACAGGTTATTAATTTATAAAACTGGTGTGAAGATTTGGATTGGAGTGGATACTATGGAAGTAAACTTGTAGGTGCTGGTCTAAGAATAGAATATTCAGCTGGGCTTGGTAGTGCATGCCTTTAATCCTGGCACTCTGAAGGCAGAGGCAAGGGGGTCTCTGTAAGACCAAGGCCAACCTGGTCTACATAGCAAGTTCCAGGTCTGCTGGGGCCACAGGAAGACCCTGTCTCAGAAAGGACTGCCCCCCGCCCCAAAACCTCATAAGAATTTGAATATTCAGCCAACAAATTTATATTTATTCTCCATGCAAGCTATTATTCTTGTCAGTGTATAGTAAAAGTTGAAGCAACAAACATTTGCTAGTGCACCCAGTGTGGTCAGGCCCTGAGCTAAGTGGAAGGGATTCTCAGTGCCTGTGCTTTAAGCCTTTGTGGCCTGTTGCAGCATTTTGCAAACTTTTTCATAAAGGATGAGCTGTTTTGCTGTTACTGCTGTCTCTTTAACAGCTACTCAGCATTGTTTATGTAAAGGAATGGGCGTGATTGTGCCCTAGTAAAACTTTATTCATGAACACAGTGGTGGGTCGGATCTGGTGTCCTGTGGTCTCCAGTATAATAAATATTCAGCTAAAATACATGGCCAAATATAAATACCATCATTAAAGTATAAAGAAAGTACCTTGTCTTCCATTGTAACATAGAAGAAAATTCAGTCGAGGCTGGGTGTGTTGGTACCTGCCTTTAGTTTCAGTACTCAGGGAGGACTGAGAGTTCCAGGTTAGCCTGGGCTACAAAGTGGGATCCTGTTTTTAAAAACAAGCAAGTTGGTCTGGAGAGATGGCTCAGTGGTTAAGAGCACTGACCGCTCTTGCAGAGGACCTGAGTTTGATTCGCAGCACTCATGGCGGCTACGAACTGTCCTTAACTCCAGTTCCAGGGGAATCTGACGCCCTCTTCTGACCTCCGCGGCATTGCATGACGAGTGCACTCACATACATGCAGGCAGTACACTCATACACACAAAATAAAAATAATAAAATATTAAAAAAAAACCAAGCAAGTTGGGGCTAGAGAGATGCCTCAGAGGTTAGGATCACTGTCTTCTCTTTCAGAGGACCCAGGTTCAATTCCCAGCACCCACATGGTAGCTAACAACCATCCATATCTCCAGTTCCCAGGAATCGGATGCCTTCTTCCTCTGTGGGCACTGTACAGCATGGGTGCACTTACACATGCAGGCAATACACCTATATGCATAAAATAAAAAGCCAGGCGTTATGGCGCACGCCTGTAGTCCCAGCAGTTGGGAGGCAGAGGCAGGCGGATCTGTGTGAGTTTAAGGCCAGCCTGGTCTACATAGTGAGTTCCAGGCCAGCTGGGGCTACAGGGAGATCCTGTCTCAAAAAGACAAAAAACAAAAAACAAAAAAAATAAATATTAAAAAAACAAGCAAACAGAAGGTTTAATAAATACAAGCAACAATGTAATCCAACTTTGATGAATTCGGGTAGGGTCTCATCAGGCTTAGGGTGATTGAAGAGTACAGCCACTGACGATAGGTCTGGCTTTACATTCCCACTGACATGTTGCTAGGTCTGAACAAGTTACTGAATCATTTTCTAAACATTAGTGTCTATATTTGTAAAATGGAGCTAATCATTGCATTCACTGTGGTTTTTTGTTGAGGCTTAAAGGATGCCATGTATACGAGCATAAAATAAAGCGAGGCATACATGAAGTCATTTCTCTCAGAGGATCCTGAAGATCTTGGGCCAGAGACGTAGATTTATGGCTTGTGAGTGGCTGCAATAATCAGATGAGTTAAAAACACTAGGATTTCACGTCCTTCTCCTCCTCCCTCTCCTTTTCCCTTCCCTCCTCCTCCTTCCCCTCCCTCCCCTCCCTCTCCTCCTCTCTCCCTTTCTTTCTCCTCCTCCTCCTTCCTTTTCCTTTCCTGCTCCCCTCCCTCTCCCTTTCTCTTCTTTTGGACATAGTATCTCACTATGTATTCCTGATTGGCTTTGAATTCTCAGTCCTGTCTCATCCTCCCACGTGCTTGATTTCAGGCAAACACGAACATACCAGATCCCAATAGTGCAATTTATTATTTTTATTATTTTATTATTTATCATTAATTAATTAATTAATTAATTGTGTACATGTGCACACATGTCTGGAGGTCAGAGGACAACTTGCGGGAGTCCATTCTTTCCTTCTACCATGTGAATCTTGGAGGCCCCAATGAGCCATTTTGCTTGCCCTTGAAGAGATGTGGCTTCAGTAGCTCCTGACCACATTTTGCTTCAAAAAGCAATGATAAGAGTATTTTTTTTCTTTTTTAAATATTTTATTATTTTTATTTTATGTGTACGAGTGTATTGCCTGCATGTATGTGAATGCACCCGTGTTGTGCAATGCTGTGGACATCAGAAGAGGGCTTCAGATTCCTCTGGAATTGGAGTTAAGGACAGTTTGTAGCCACCATGTTGAACCCAGGTCCTCTGCAAGAGCAGTCAGTGCTCTTAACTGTTGAGCCATCTCTCCAGCCCCATAAGAGTATTTGTTTGTTTGTTTGTTTGTTTGGTCTTTTTGAGACAGGGTCTCCCTGTAGCCCGAGTTGTCCTGGAACTCACTATGTAGACCAGGCCAGCCTTGAACTCACAGAGATCTACCTGCCTCTGCCTCCCAAGTGCTGGGATTAAAGGCATTCGCCACCACACCTGGCAAGAACATTATTTTAAAAAGGCATTTGTTCAGGCTGGAGAGATGGCTCAGTGGTTAAGAGCACCGGCAGCTTTTGTAGAGGACCTGAGTTGGGTTCCCAGTAGCCACATGGCAGCTAACAACTAACCGTAACTCCAGTTCCAGGGGATCTCATGCACTTATCTGGCATCCTTGAGCATTGTATGCATATGGTGTACTTGCATACATGGAGGTAAAATATTTGTGTGTGTGTGTCTGTGTGTATGTGTATGAATATGGCATTGTCTTTACTATTTTCCTGACATAAGAGCACTGCTTTTTAAACCCCCCCCGCCCCATTTTATCCAGAGCCACTGTGGTCAGCAATAGAAAAGGCTTTTTCTGTTATTATATCCCAAATCTTGTTATATTCTGGGAATCATCAAATTCAGAGAGTCTAGAAATTATTCTCTGGGTAGGCATATGTTCCTGTAAAGAGACAGAGTGTTGTTACACTAGATAGCAGCCTCTGTAGTTATCACTCATGCTGTTAATTCTGGTTGCATGGAACTGATAGCATTGCTGGCTAGGAGGAACCCTTAGCTGTGCCCTTTGATCTAATAATTACTTTAAATTCAATATAGAAAAGTGTTAAACTTTTTATTTCAATGTATAAAACTCACATTTTCAGCATAAGAAGTTGTAGTCAACCCATATGTCAGTAAGAGTCAAGCAACTGATGCCTGTCCATGGTCCCTATTGAATAAGCTGCTATACTTATCACATCCAGTTACTGGATGTGGTGAAACATGCCTGTAATCTCAGTACTTGGGAGGTGGAGGCAAGAGAATCAAGAGTTCAGGCTCATCTTTGGCTACACAGCCAAGTTTGAGACCAGTGTGAGATATGTGAGACCTTGTCTCAAAAAACAAACGAGGTGGACTGGGCATGGCCAAGCCAGCCTGGTCTACATAGTTCCGGGCCAGCCAGGGACTCATAGTGAGACCTTGTCTTAAAAAACAAACCAAAAACCAAAAACGAAACAACTTATCTTTAAACAAAAACAAGCAAGGTGCCAGCGAGATGGTAAATGTTTGCTGCACAATCCCCAAAGCCCATACAAAAGGAGGAGAGAACTAACTCTATCAAGTTGTCATCTGGCCTCCACATGTATGATGTAGCAGGCACCTCTATACATCATGCATGAGCACACAATTACACAATAATAGTAAATAAAAATAGAATGAATTAAAAACTCTGAGAAAGCTATGCAGAACATGCAGAACATGTACAGAGACTATAGCTATGTTTTGTAAACTTCAAAAATGGTTTGTGCTTGAGTACATATTTGAGTGTTAGAAACCAGATCAAGGCCAGCCTGGTCTACCTAGTGAGTTCCAGGCCAGCTGAGGGTGCAGGGGGAGACCCTGTCTCAAAAAGACCAAAAACAACAAAACAAAACAAAACCAGAAACCAGACCAGATCGGGTATGGAAAGAGAAGTAAATAAATCTTGTCAGTAATATGGAAGGTTTTCCTCCCTGTGGTGTGGATAAAACTTAGCCTTGTATATCCTACACCCTGAACTATGTTCCTAGCCAGTAGTATGAAAGTTTTTTTTAAAGATTTATTTTTTAAAAATAAATGTATATGTATGAATATCTCAGTGTGTGCATGATAGGTGTGTGTGGGTGTCCACAGAGGCTAGAAGAGGGTGTCAAATCATCTAGAGCTGGAGTTAATAGGCAGTTGTGAGTTGCACAACGTGGGTGCTGGGAACCAAACTCGGGTCCTCTGGAAGAGCAGTATGCTATTGCTATGTAACCCTGGCTGTCCTAAAACTCGTTATGAAGATCAAGAAGGCCTTGAACTTACAACAGTTCTACTGCCTTTTTCTCCTAAGTGCTGGATCACATCAGCCCAAATGAAAGTTTTGAGTCTAAAAGAGTTAGAGGACTGGGAATACAGGTCATTGGTATAGAATACGTGTACAAAATACACTAGTACCACACACACAAAACAAAAAAAGTAGGTAGGGAGATGGATGGGTGGGTAGATAGAGGGATGAGGAAGGACAGATGGATAGATAGGTTAGAGTAGTTGCATCAGGCTTGAAGGAGGATTTATAATCAGTATTGTATAAAATGTAATTTTGTGTGGAAGCATGTTGACTGCCATAGCAACAAACAGGAAGTGAAAGCTACCTTGCTTCACTGAGTATAAATTAACCTCCAGCAAAGGATCATAAGAAGTGGAGAGGCAAAATGACGTTACCACATTTCTTTATGTAGACCTGCAGGGAGGCACAGGGAAAGCCGCATTGGGGATGAAACCCAGGGCTTTGTGCATACTCCACCAGCTGAGCTACATCTCCAGCCCTCTTAAAATCTTTAAATGAAAACCTGTTCTATGTGGAGAAATGACTGAAGGGTACTGCTGACATTCGTTAGCCCTGAGTGCTCATCTTTCCAATTCTTGAAGGTTTGCAAAAATTAACTAATACTTCAGTCTGGAAGCCAGCTAACAGATTCAAAAAGTAATGCTTGTGCTCTTGAAGTGTAGGTGTCGTGCAATTGCTTGATCACAAGCACCAGGAACTGCTTGTGGAGTTTTATTCCCTAAGCCTTCCTCATTGATCAATCTAGGTGGCAATGGAGGGTTTGTGATCACTGTATTTTTAGCTTTCTGCAGTTCTGTGATAGGATCAAACCTCATATTTGACTGAAGTTGTCAGATTTCTGGGCAAATGTTCTTTGGGAATAACATTGCAGAATGTGCTAGTTACTTACATGGAGGAATGGTGAAGTTGGGGAGGGGCAGAATTGACTCTATTGGAGTCACTTTTTGTTTTGAACTTCTGTAGTATTAGAACTGTGCAATATTTTAATGCAAACATTTTTGTTTACTATGCAGGCTTACAGTGGAACACCTTTAACAGAAGAAAAGGAGAAAATAGTCTGGGTCAGATTTGAAAATGCAGATCTAAATGGTATGATTTTAATTTTTGTGAGACATGGAAATTAAATGTTTGTTTGGGGCTGACCTGATTCAAGAATGAGAACTTCAACTTCAGTCAGGTTATTTTCTCTTATAGTAACTTTTTAGTTTTCAAAATAGATTTGTCTTTAGCTGGGCCTGGTGGCTCATTCCTATAATCCCAGCACTTAGGAGACTGATACAGGAGGGTTCTGAGTTAGAGATGAGCCTGGGCTACATAGCAAGACCTTTCTGGAAATCAGAACAACCTAAAGTTATACAACCGTTACTCCTTTTAATAATCAGTATCTATAACTTTTCATCTTGGGAAATAAACTATATTCATTGAAGTATGTTCTCTAGCTGTCTTTCCCTCAGCCCCCGGCAGCCACCGTTTCTCTATAACTTTGATTGCTGTAGGTTCTTTATAGAATGGAATAATATAGCCCCAGCACTCAGGAGGCAGAGACAGGTGGATCTCTGTGAGTTCAGTCCAGCCTTGTCTACATAGTGAGTTCCAGGCCAGCTGGGGCTACAGGAAATCCTATCTCAAAAAAAAGGAATAATATATTATTTGACACTTTTTGTGACTGGCCTATTTCATGTAGTATAATGGTGTTTAAGATTTATCCATGTTGGAGTGTATGTCAACATTTCCTTTTTTTCTTTTTAAAGTTGAATAATGTTTCACTGTATGTGCATACCATCTTTTAAAAAATACCGTTTTTATTTTCTGTGTGTGGATGTATTGCCTGCATATTTGTAAGTGCACTTGTGTTGTACAATGCCCACAGAGGTCAGAAGGGCCTTGGATTCCCCTGGAACTGGGTTAGAGATGGTTGTTAGCCACCATGTGGTGCTGGGAATTGAACCCAGGTCCTCTGCAAGAGCAACCAGCAGCTCTTAACCACTGAGTCATCTCTCCAGCCCTATACCATCTTTTTTAAAAAGCTATGATGCTCAGGCTGACCTTGAATTCCTGGACTCAAACAAAACTAGAACTTCCCGAGTAGTAGCACATTAAGAAAAAATAGTACTGAGAACTGAACCTAGCACCTTACACATGCTTTGCAAGTAGACTACCAGTGAGCTATATCCTCAGCCCTCTTTTTACTTTATTGAGACAGGGTCTTATGTAGCCCATGTTGGTTTTAAATTCCTGATCCTCTTGCCTCTACTTCCCCACTGCTGGAATTATAGGTGTGTGTCTGGTTTTGTTTTTAAGAGAGTCTCATGTGACTCGTGGCTTAGACTGTCCTTGAACTTCATATGTAGTTGAGGATGACCTTGAACTTTTAATCCTCTTGCCACCATGACCAGTTTATAGTGCTAGGGATTGAACTCTTGACCTCTTGCTTGCTAGCCAAGCACTCTATGTCCTCAGCCCTGGACTTACTTTTTTTTTTCTTAATGTGTATGAGTGTTTTGCCTGCATGTATGTAAGTATACCTATATTGTGCAGTGCTGGTGGAGGACTGAAGAAAGGATCAGATCCCTTGTAACTAACAGACGGTTGTTAGCTGCCATGTGAGTGCTGGGAATCAAAGTGCTCTTAACTGCTGAGCCATCTCTCCAGCCCCTAGACTTACTTTTTATTTTGAGACAAGGTCTCACTAAATTGCCCTTTGGCCTTGAGCCTACTTTGTAGTCCAGGCTGGCTTCTAACTTGGCCTCCTCCTTCCTCAGCATTCTTGAGGCCTATGCCTCAAGACCCTGCTACTTTTTTTGTTATGTGAATAATGTTGCTGTGAACATTGGTGTATAAATATCTCAAGACTGTTTCCGTTCTGTTTGATATATACTTAGAGGTGGAATTGCCGGGTTAGCTACAATAATTCTACTCTCAGTTTTCCAAGGAACCACCTAACTGTCTTCTACAGTGACAGTAGATTCCCAGTGACAGTGCCCGAGAATTTTTTTAAAAAGTTATGTATTTTTATTTTATGTGTATGAGTTTTTTTGCATGTAAGTGCACCACATGCATGTAATGCCTACATAATTCAGAGATGAGTATCGGATCCCCTGGACTGGAGTTTCAGACTGTTGTTAGCCGCCACATAGGTTCTGGGAACTAAATGCAGGTCCTCTGCAGGAGCAGCTATTGCTCTTAGATATCTCTCCAGCCCCTGCCCAAGGATTTTTTATTGGTGCTGGGGGTTGAACAAGTACTGAGCTACACCACACCCCCAGCTCCTCCAAATCATTCCATACTTAACTGTTTTTACTGATGAATAGGTACTCATCCTACTGAGTTTGAGTTATAGTTTGATGTTTCCCTAATGAATAACGATTTCAAGTGTCTTTTCATGTGTATATTGACCAGTTGTATAAAGTAGTTCCTCCCTTATTCATGGCTTTGCTCTCTGAGGCATTTTTTACCCTCAGCCAGCCATGGTTTGAAAATATTAAATAGAGTATTCCAGAAAGAAACAGTTTATTCATTTTATTTTTGTTTTTTTCAGACAAGGTCTCAATATATAGCTCTGGCTAACCTGGAACTTGCTATTTAGACTAAACTGGCCTCAAATTCCCAGGGGTTAATCTACCTCTGCCTCCTAAGTGCTGGGATTAAAGGTGCACACCACCACCAGTAAACTGCTGGCCCAGTTTACTTGTTTTTAAATTGTGTGCTATCTCGGGTAACCTGATGGAATCTTGTGCCATCCAGCCCCCGTCTGTTCCATCCTGTCCAGAATGTGAGTCATCCCTTTGTCCCCCATCCATGCTGTACTGGCTATCAGACTGGTAGTCACATAAACTTTTCTGGTGAGGCCACCCAGTTAGTGCTGGAGTGCTGTAGTGCTGGTGTTCAAGTTATCCTTACTCTGTTGCATATTGGCCTCCACGTGTTCACATTTGCCAAGCAGGAGGCAGCACGCTGTCTGCTCTAAGTGGAAAGATCCTGGCTTAAGAGAAGGAAAAAAAAAATGCTGAGTGTAAGAATGAATCTCCTACTTGTGAAATTCTGCAGAAGGAGAAAGAAATTGCACTAATGTAACTATAACACCCCAAATTGCAAAAGCTATGACAGTCTATGATAATGTTTAGTTAAGGATGGAAAAGGCACTATCTGAGTTTCTAGGCATCTAAAGAGGCACTTACTGAATCTTTTTTTGAGAAATGTGTGTGCCAGTCCTTTGGCAGGTTTCTGAATTGCCCCCCTTCCTTTTTAATTAATTAATTAATTAATTAATTATATTATTTTTTGGTCTTTTTTGAGACAGAGTCTCCCTGTAGTTCCAGCTGTCCTGGAACTTGCTATGTAGAGCAGGCTGGCCTTGAATTCATAATGATCCACCTGCCTCTGCCTCCTGAGTGCTGGTATTAAAGGGGTGTGCCAACACACCCAGATATTTATTTATTTATTTATTTATTTATTTATTTATTTTTTCAGAAGATCTCCTTGTAGCCCCAGTTAGTCGGGGACTCACTATGTAGACCAGGCTGGCCTCAATTTCACAGAGATTCACCTGCTTCTGCCTTTTGAGTACTTGGAATAAAGGTGTGTGCCACCAGGCTCAGCTCCTTCCATTTGAAAAAACTAAAAAAAAAAAAAAATTATTGTGAGGCTGGCACTTGACTGCTAAAGACCAAGCTTGACGATCTGACGATCTGAGTAATGTCCCCAAGACCCTGTAAGTTGTCCTTTGACCCCACACATGTACTGTGGCACACCCGACACCTGGGGACAGCTCAATAAATAGATACATGTAGTAAAAAACAAAACACTGACTCCAATCCAGTGTTTTTTGTTTTTTCCTGCCTTATTTTTCTTCAAACGTTTTCTTTTTTAGTACTAGGTCTTGAACCAGGTTCTCACACAAGCTGGGCACGTGTTCTACCATTGAGTTACGACCCTAGCCCCATTTTGAAAGCTGGCTATGTTTTTAATTTCTCTCTTTTATGACTGTCTATTGAATTCTTTGCCAGTATGCTTTGTGTCCTTTTTTCTTATTTATTTATTTTTGGTTTTTTGAGACAGGGTCTCACTGTGTAGCCCTGGCTGGCCTCGAAGTTGATATGTAGACCAGGCTGGCATCAAATTCACGGAGATCCAGAGATGTTGTGGGGGCTGGAGAGATGGCTCAGCAGTTAAGAACGCTGGTTGTTCTTGCAGAAGACCCGGGTTTGAATCCCAGCACCCACATGGCAGCTAACAACTGTCCGTAACTCCAGTTCTAGGGGATCTCACAGCCTCTTCTGTCCTCCGCAGGCGTTGTACGACATGGGTGCACTTACCTACACGCAGGCAATACACACATACACATAAAATAAAAATAATAAAATATTTTTTAAAAAAGATAGGATGTTGCTACCTAAATGCCAATGATTTTGAATTTTATTTATGGAAGTTTTTCATTAGTATCCTCTTTTATGTCTGGCTTCTTTGCTAATTGAGTCTGTGAGATTCCTCTATATACTATAGTACTTCATTTTTTTTTTTCTATTCTGAATGGTATTCCATTGTGTCACTGTGCCATGGTGTTTGACCACTTCTCCTGTTGGTGAGCATTGGGATTGGGATTGTTTCTGTCTTTTGGCTAATTACTAATATTACTATGAATAGTCTTGTGCACCTCTCTCACTGTTCTCTGTCTCTCTCTTTCATGCTACAAGAGTGTGAACACATGCTAGGCGGGTGCCTGCCACTCAGCTCTAATCCTAGGGGTCATCAAAGCAGGAAGGTCACAAGTTCAAGACCTGCCTGGGCTATAGAGTGAGTTCAAGACCAGCCTGGGCAACTTAGACTCTATCTCACTTGTACTAAAACAGGGATGTAATAGCACACTTGTCTGGAATGCATGAGGGTTCATTCTTCCTTCAGTCCCCAGTACTGCAAAGAAAAAAAGAAACAAAGAAACAAATTTAGAAAATGAAACTTTTTTTGAGACAGTGTGTCACTCTGTAGCTAGTTTGTCCTAGAATTTACTGTGTAACTTAGATTGGCCTTAAACCCACAGGATTACAGGCCAAAGCCACCACATTGACTTGTTACTGTTTTCTGTTTTTATTTTTATTAATGTAACCTAATTGTAGCATTGATGGGGTTTTCTTGATGGATTCTATGTCTTTTAAATTTACTTCTTGTTACTTATTCCTAATGCAGATACTTCAAGGAATCTAGAATTTCATGAACTACATAGCACTGGAAATGAACCCCCGCTGCTGGTTATGATTGGCTACAGTGACGGAATGCAGGTCTGGGGCATCCCTGTGAGTATGCAAGAGGGCAAGGCCATAGTAGCACTGCCCAGCACGGCAGCTTTGTTATCACCTCAGGTAAATTTGTGCATTTGTTAAGCTTCCTGGAGAATCAGTAGGACACTTTGGGACTGAGGGGCAACAGGCAAGTAGGCACTCTAAATGATGATTGAGTTATATCAGGAGTTGTGTGAATCAAGGTACAAGCAAGAGCTTATTTTTCCCAAGGGTACTCCTTTTAAATAGGGGCTGTTGCTGTCTTTCTTATTCTACAGAAAAGTAAACTGAGACTTGTAAAATTTTTTTCTTTTCTTTTTCTTTTTTTAAAATTAGTAATCATTAACTACATACTGATATTTTGTATCAGTTAAAACATGTACATGAGCAGGGCATGGTGGTGCATGCCTTTAATCCCAGAAGTTGGGAGGTAGAGGCAGGTGGATCTCTGTGAGTTCGAGGCCAGCCTGGTCTACATATTGAGTTCCAGGTCAGCTGAGGCTACAGGGAAACCCTGTCTCAAAAAGACAAAAGACAAAAAAATGTGTACATGAAACTGAGGAGATGATTCAACAGGTAAAGACACTTGCTGCTAAGCTTGACGACCTGAATTCAGTTCCTGGGACCCACATATAAAAGGAGAGAACTGACTTCCACAAGTTGTCTTCTGATCTCCACATGCACACTGTGGCATGTGCATGCGAATGCACATGTACTCTTGCATGCACAAATAATAAAAATAAATATAATATTAAAAAAGAATACCTCAAAAATGAGAAATCCTGGTAGCCTCAACATAGGGGAAATGGAGGACAAGGGCAGGAGAGGATGTTTTAAAGCCTTTTTACCTCTCGGATTTTGTACCATGTGAATTAAAAATTATTTTGTGAGGTATTTTTTTAATATTTTACTTATTACTTTTATTTTTTGTGTTTGAATGTGTTGCCTGCATGTATGGAAGTGCAGCCGTGTTGTGCAGTGCACAAGGAGGTCAGAAGAGGGTGTCAGAATCTGCTGGAACTGGAGTTAGGGATGGTTGTTAGCTGCCATGTGGGTGTTGGGACTCGAACTCGGGTCCTCTGCAAGTGTAGCCAGTTCTCTTAACTGCTGAACATCTCTCCATCCCCTTGTGGGTCCTCTGCAAGTGTAGCCAGTGCTCTTAACTGCTGAACTCCAGCCCCTTGTGAGGTATTCTTACAGTTAGATTTTTTTAAAAAGATTTATGGGCTGGAGGGATAGTGCAACCGTTAAAGGCTAAGGCTAACAACCAAAACATTAAAAAATATTTATTTAATTTAATCAATTTTTTTGTGTGTGTGTGTTCTTGAGTGTTTGTAAGTGCACCATGTATATACAGGTACCTGTAGAGGTTAGAAAAGAGCACTAGATCCCCTGGAACTGGCTAACACCAGTTATAAGCTACCATAAGGGTGTTGGGAATTGAACATGGGTCCTCTGCAAGAGCAGCTAGTGCTCTTACCCACTGAGCCATCTCTCCAGCCCCTCTAGCTAGATTTTATGCAAATGAAAACATGTGTGAATATGCATCTGTCACGCTTGTTCTGAACCTTGCTGGTTTCCCATTGTAATGGAAAACTGTTCAGAGAGCTCCTTCATTGATTTGTATAGCTGCATAATCTGTTGTTCAGCTATTTTCTAATCACCAGTGTTCTCCATGGATACAAACACCTTAATTGTCCATATTTTTATATAAAAAATGATATAATATTAGGCCAAGGTATCATAGGCTTGTAATCCCAGCTATTTGGCAATCTGAGGCAGGAGGATGGTAGTTCCAGGCCTGCCTAGACAATCTAGTGGGACTCTTGTCTCAAAATCAACAAAATGAGCTGGGCATGGTTGCACACGCCTTTAATCCCAGCACTTGGGAGGCAGAGGCAGGCAGATCTCTGTGAGTTCAAGGCCAACCTGGTTTACAGTGAGTTCCAGGCCAGTTGGGGCTACAAGGAGACCCTGTCTTAAAAAGACCAACCCCTCACCCCCCCCAAAAAACTCTCACAACTAAATGATGACCACATGTGTGTGCATGCGTTTGCATGTGTGCTTGCTCAGACTGGCCTCATACTAACGGGTGATCCTTTTGCCTTTGCCTCTAGAGTGCTGGGATTACAAGTGTGGGCCACCATGACTGCCTTCAAAGGTTATATTTTGTGTTTGTGTATTTGTGTAGGATGCATTCCTCTTTCTCCTTTGAGACAAGATTTCATGTGTACCCCAGGCTGCCTTTGAACTCAAGTAGTCCTCCTGTCTCAGCCTCTTGAGTCCTGGGATTGATTACACTATGTACCTTTAGGGCTTGCTTTGTTTGGATAAATTCCTTTCAGTGGAATTACTGAATCAAAGATGAAGTGCTTTTAAAAAAATTTTTTTAAATTTATTATTTTTATTTTATGTGTATGAGTGTATTCCCTGCATGTATGTGAGTGCACCCGTGTTGTGCAGTGCCTCTGAGGTTAGAAGAGGGCTTCAGATTCCTCTGGAACTGGAGTTAAGGACGGTTTGTAGCTGCCATGTGGGTGCTGGGAATCAAACCTGGGTCCTCTGCAAGAGCAGTCAGTGCTCTTAACCTCTGAGCCATCTCTCTAGCCCCAAAGTACATTTTTTAAAAAAGAATTTATTTATGTGTATGTGTGTGTGTGTGTGTGTGTGTGTGTGTGTGAGTCTGTGTGCATGCTACATGTGTGTGGGTACCACATGTGTGTGGGTGCCTGTGGAGACCAGAAGAGGGTGTGGGATCCCCCAGACCTGAGAGTTATAGTTGACTGTGATCCACGTAATGTGGGTATGGGAACTCAGGTCCTCTGGGAGAGCAGCAAGTGCTCTTAAACCCTGAGCCATCTCTCCAGCCCCCTAAATGCATTTTAATTTGCTTATTTTTTTTTATTGCTGGTGTTTGTTTTTTGTGGTCCTGGTGATTAAACCTGAAGGTTCACTAAGTTGCCAGTGCTGTTTTGAACTCAATCTGTAGCACAGGCGGTCCTTGGACTTGTGGATTCTACTGTATCACCTCCTGAATATGTGGTATTACAGGCCTGCCCCACCAGGCATGGTGAGTGCATTCCTTTGTTTTGAGATGTTAGTCTTATGTAGCCCAGGCTGACCTTGAACTCCATATAACAGAGGATGGCCTTGAATGCATGATCCTCCTGCATTACAGGCCTACACCAACATTCCCAGCACATTGGTATTTTGATCAGTATTTCACATTGCATAATATTGATCATAGTTTGCATGCTGATACCTACATATGCTCCCTTGGGGTAGCTAAAAATAAAATGTTCTAAAAGTGTAAGTTACTGGAGAGCACAGTTCCTGTTTGGGCTTATTTTATTTCTCTTCCATGTTTGGCATGGCCTAAATATCATCTCTCTTCCCTAAACAGGTTGACTTCTGTCGGGTGGTTCCTTTTCTTTTTATCTTTTTGAAACAGGGTCTCCCTATAGTTCCAGCTGGCCTGGAACTTGCTGTATAGACCAGGCGGACCTGAAACTCACAGAGATCTGTCTGCCTCTGCCTTGTGAGTCCTGGGATTAAAGGCTTGTGTTACTATGCCTGGCTGTTGGGTAGTTCTTTAGGGTTCTTCAGGTCAAGAATTTGGAGGGGCTGGAGAGATGGCTCAGTGGTTAAAGAGTACTGGCTGGGTTTGCAGAGACCCAGGTTCAGTTCGCAGCACCTACATGGCAGCTAACAACCGTCTGTTAACTCCAGTTCCAGGGGATCTGATGACCTTTTCTGGCTTCCTTGGGCAGTGCATAACATGAGTGCCCTTGCATACATGTAGTCGAAACACTGATACACATAAAGTAAAAATAAATAAAATAAATTTGGAATTGTACCTTCAATAAATACATTTACAAAACTTGTTTGAAGGTGTGTGTGCTGCCCGCCCCCAGTACTGGGGATCAAATCCAGTGTCTTGCACATGTTGGGCAATTGCTCTGTCACTGAACCATCTCCCCAGCTTTAGGCCAAATTGTTTATTTTGTTATTATTTCTTTTTGTAACATGATCTTTCATTAAAGCATTCATTAAATATTTTACATCAGGTGTTTGAAAGTCAGGATTTCTATGGTAAAGAATTTGTCCTAAATAACATAGGGATTATTATGATAAACACATTGCAGTCATAATTCTTTAACATTTTAACTTGAAAAAAATATGTGTCAGAGAGATGGCTCAGAAGGTAAAGGTGCTCGCTGCCAGGCCTGATGACCTGAGTTCAGTCCCTGGGACCCACATGGTAGGAGGAGAGAAGAGAAATCCACAAGTTGTTCTCTGACCTCCACAGGAATGCCCACACATGTACACATACAATAAATAATCTAATAGCAATTTAAAACATTTTTCTTATAGGTTAATAAATCACTTATGAACTTTGGTTTTCTGTTCTGATCATATGATTATCATATTACATATTTAGGATTGAGGATTTGTTTTTACATGCCCAGGAGAAATCTGCTGGTTTGTCATGGGACTGGAAGTATTCTCTTGCTTTTGTTTTGTTTTTCTAGTGCTGGGAGCAGAAGCCAGGGCCTTATTCATGATGGACAAGTGTTGTGACTCTACCACCACACCTGAGCCTTTAGTTCACCTTTCCAAGGCCTTGCTATGTTGTCTTTTAACCTGCCAAGAGAAAACTACACAGATCGTGATGGGGGAAAAAATTTTGTTAGTATAACTTTTTCTGCATTAATAAGGAACTGACTACATTTTGCCCTGTATGCTGCTTGTTGACAGAATTGAAAGCAAAGAGGAAGGGCTGGCTTTCACAAGATGTTTGAGCTGGCTGTCATTATCCATGTTGACTGGATGGAGCACATTCCTTTGGTGGGACTCAGATGGCTTTGACTGCCCACTTGTTTGGGTTATAATTAGAGGTATTACTTTGAATAGCTTCAAAGATAAATACCTCCGAATAGCTTTAAACTTTCCAGATTGTATTTGGAGAGGCCTGAATAATCTTTCTGGATGGACTTGCTCTTGATCAGTTGCAT